GCAAGCTCCAGGAGATGGTGAAGGCCTGGGAAGCCTGGCGTACTGCAGTCTGTGCTCTCGAAGAGTCGGAGACGACTGAGTGGCCGAACATCCACACTGGTACCACTGTGGATGCTTCACCGTGGCGGCATATAGACTCAGCACACACGGGCGTTTCATGTAATGCAACCTCTCAGAGGCAAGTGAACAAATAATCAGGCAGGACTGAGCTCCCTCCTGGTGCAGAAACCCCACTGGAAAGTCCACTCTTCTCTCCCACGTGGCTGCTCGGTGACTTTTGTGGGTTGTGCTTTTGCACAACCAACCCCCAGTTGAGAGACTTACATGTTTTCGGAGGCAATGCCCTTTATCATCACATATTTGTACAAACTTCTGGTTGTTAATAGTACTCCAGGGACATGGCAGCCTGGGCTCCTGCTTAACCACCTTAACGGGCCACAGAATAGGCACTTTGTCACAACACTGAGCGACGGGCAAGAATAACAGCCGGTGAAGGTGGAACACTGCAGCATCTATGGTTTCTTCCAAGTTCTGTTGATAGCTGAGTTCTTTTCTTTCTTCCTTTTTTAAAAATAATATTCTTTTTTGTTGTTGTTGTGCTGGGACTGGCCCGGGGGTCCAGTGGCTAAGAATCCATCTTCCAATATAGGGAACTTGGGTTTGATCCTTGGTTGGAAACTAAGATCTCACATGCCTCACAGTGCAGCCAAGAAAAAAAATCTAGGTTGTGCCTCTTACTAGCTGTGTGTTACCCACCTGGCTGTTAATCTTTTAAAATTCCAATGCATCATCTGTAAAATGGGGCCAAAAACACTACCTTGTAGAACTGCCAATAACATGAGCTGGTCCTATAACGCATGCGTTTTTTGCACATTTCTTAATAATAGCCAACAGCCAACAAATATTGACTGTGGATAAGAAAGAATTATTTTTGCAGTACAAGAAAAGCACACGGTAGATTGGACTCTGTGGTAAAGAGAAGTTCTTTTAGAGTGAGTGTCACAATCATTTCAAATCCCAGAACAGGAAGAACCAAAGTTCTATTTACCTTACTACCAAACTGCTCAGTGACAGCAGCTTTGAAAAAATTTCTCATTTAGTTTGCTACCAGAGAGTCTTGCTTCATCATTTTATTTATCCCTTAACTATCCCCCAACATCTGCTGTAAGTGCAGGTATGTTTGGGAGCAGTAGCAGCATGAAAATCACTTTAAAAAAAAAAAAGAGTGGGTTTATTCTGATAAAGACACTGTCCCTTTGATATGGTACTGGAGCTTTCAACTGTGACCTCCCTTTCTGGTTTTACCAGATTTTCCTTTCAAGTCTCCTTCAAAAGGAACTAATCTCTCACTAAACGGCTGTCTGCAAACCAACCTCATAATCATTTTTAAATGAAATTTTGGAGGGTTTTCAAATAGAATTGAGACAAGCACAAACTTTTGCAGTCCTGGTCGTAATTTCTTCCACTAGAGGGCGAAATTTGCTAAAATAAATAAAAGGAATTACTGGCCAGTGGGATTAACACCGGACATTAGGAGTGAGCTAGATTCCAGGATCTTGGCTGCCCTTCTCAACTGCAGAAACTGGAAAACACACAGTCTCCACCCCACAGGGCTCCACCCCAGAAGATTCTGAATCAGTAGGGGGAAGAGGGCATAAAAAGGTGTTGGAAATCTGTTTTTGAAAACTTCTCCAAGTTTGGGAACCACTGATTTAGAGAGAAGTGAAGATTTTAACTGAGTTTCTCCCACCACTCGCTCTCCCCTGCTGATATATTCAGGTCCTGCTTGCTCCAGTTTTTGTTGAAAATATATTTATTAATTGATTTGGCTGCAAAGGCCTTCACTGTGGCATGTAGTATCTTCAGTGCATCATGAGCCTTGCAGCATGTGGACTATCTAGTTGTGGCACATCGGCTTAGTTGCTTTGCGACATGTGGGATCTTAGTCCCCGGATCAGGGATTGAACCGTGTTCCCTGTTCTGCAAGGCGGCTTCTTTAACCACTGGACCACCAGGGAAGTCACATGTTGAACATATATTTTAACCTTGGTGGAAAAACAGGGCTTATCTTTACCCTAAAACCATGACCTTTGCCTTGGGTAGAGGATGCTATTTAATACAACTTCCAGAAAGGTCATTTACTGCCCATTTTCCGGTCTTTTCTATGGTCAGGTCCACTTCAAAGGCACCCTATAGGAATATTTCCATTTTTGTCTGTGTTTATCAGCGATGCCAGCTTTTGCTTTATCACAAGCAAAAAACTCTCTAAAACAATACTTGACTATCGAACAAGACTGTGGGCAATGCTGCCATAAATAAAACCAGAACTTATCAGTAGGAGTTGCCAATCAAGTGGAGACAGGCACAAGATACATGGACTTATTAAGCATAAGAAAAATCGAACTGGTGCATAAGAAATTCGGATTACCTAAAACAGTACAATTATGGCCTGGAGATTTGGTTCAAACAAGTACAAGATAAATATACCTACCTGGGCCAGTCTCCTTGGAATGGATTTTTTTTTTCTTTATTAAATCTTTAAAATTGATTTATGAGTCAGATTGAGGTAAGCATTCCCCTTTGTGTTTTATCTGCTGTGCTTACAGGGTCACAGTGACATTTTGAATTGTCAAAGGGCTTCCAGAGTTCCTGCACAGAAAGTTCCCCTCCTGGACTTACTCTATTAGAGGAAAAAAGCACCAGAGAAGGGATGTGAAAGCAGCATTACCCAGTCAAGCTTCTCTTTTAACTCAACCGTGTGGTCTTACATTGGGAAGCCCAGTGTGGGAAGCCAAGTGTAGTCTTACATAGCCTGTAGTCCTCTTGCAAGCTGGACAGATAATCATTAGAGCTCCTCCCACTTTCTGTGGGCTCCTCCCTGGACACTTGGATACCCTGGTTCTAGGAATGATGGAGCATCTGTTACTGCACATCTTGCCAATCCCAAACCTCCCCATCTGCATTTTGACATGCTGATAACACTTTTCCAAAATGTGTCTACTTTGCGTTCTAGTGTGCCTAGTAACAGATACACTAAAACTTGTCTAGTTACCAAGATTGGTCCTCCCCTTAAACTGATGTGTTGGATTCTCCAGCTTGAGTAGAGTTTAGTCCCTTGACTGTGACTCAGGCATTGAGGTTGGGAATGGGGAATATTGTTGGTGAATTTTGTAGATGGGATTTTAGTTTCCTACGAGCATTTCCTTTTTTCCCCCCAATATTTATTTATTTGGCTGTGCCAGGTCTTGGTTGCATATCTTTGACCTTCAATCTTTGTTGTAGCATGTGGGATCTTTAGTTGCTACATGCAAATTCTTAGTTGCAGAATGTGGGATCTGGTCCCCCGACCAGGGATTGAACCCAAGCCCCCTGCATCGGGAGCATGGAGTCTTAGCCCCTGGACCACCAGGGAAGTCCCACTGTGAGTATTTCTGTCTGCTATAGTGAGATAAGATTGGCTCACATATATCCAGACCAGACATCTGTCAGTCCTCCACTACTTCTTTTTTGTTTAATTGAAGTAAACTCCGGGAGATAGTGAAGGACAGGGAAGCCTGGCATGCTGCAGTCCATGGGTCACAAAGAGTTGGATATGACTGGGTGACTGAACAACAACAATTGAAGTACAGTTGATTTACAGTGCTGTGTTAGTTTTAGGTGTACAGCAAGGTGATTCATATGTGTGTGTGTGTGTGTGTGTGTGTGTGCACTTCAGATTCTTTTCCCTTATAGGTTATTACAAGATATTGAACGCAGTCCCGACTACTTCTTTGTTTTCCCTAGCATTGCTTACTTGTTTCCCCATAACCCTGAAAAATCTTGGACTGTTGTATGAACAAGTCAAGAAAAATTAGAGAAGTTGCTATCCTTGTTTTCTTCTTCTCCTAGAATATAGAAACATTGTGCTTCCAACCTCTCTCTTGTTACAATGTCCTCTCTCCCAGTTTTCACCTATGTAAGTGGAGAGCAGCATGGGACCCAGTGACCAAACAGCTTCCAGGCTCTTTAAATGAGGTTAATAGCCCACAGCCTTCAAATGGACCTTGTATGAGTCCTCAACAAACCCACTCTCTCCAAGCTTGACACACGTCAAGACTCACAAGGTCACATCTACAAATGCCACATAAACACACATGACACCAGCAGCCAAAAATGGTTTCCTTGTTTGTAATGTTTGGCCAATGACTTGGCCATGGTTATACCAAAGGGAATTGGTGGCTGTTGGATATGATTTGAGGGGGAATTCCTGCGGGCAAAGAAAGGGAAGAAAGGGACCTTTGGGTTAACTGAGGCGCAGCTGCAGGACACCAGGGATGCGAACTCAGCGATAGCCACCCGCAGAATAGAAACGCCGGGTTTGCAGGAATCCCCTGCCAGCTGCCTGCCTTCGCTCAGGAGGTCACCGACGATCCCACCACGGCGGGGCTCTGGACTCAAGGCACCGCCTGTCTCCTGGCCTTTCCTTATCCAGCCTGACACAGAGGGTCCCTAGGCGGGGGTCAGTGGGACCGCCTGGGGCAGGGAATGCGCCCACGTGACCGGGTTACCGGCCTCCACTTGCCTCAGACAAGTTCTTTGCCTCGATCACTCAGCGCCCCTAGATTCCCGACGCAGAGGCCTGGTCCTCTTCTCCCGCGGCCGCGGCCAAGGGACCCAAGGCCAGGGAGAGGCCTTTGGCGCCGCCTATAACCCCGCCCCTCCCGCGACAACCCCGCCCAGACCAGCCCAATCCCCGCCCCGAGCCAGGGCCCCGCCCAATCCCAGGCCCGCCTCTAGGTCGGCCCCGCCTCCGGCCCTGCCCCGACCGGAAGAAGCGCCGGCGCCCGGCACTTATAGGGCCGGGAATGGGGGTGCCGCCACCGCCTAGTCAGCGCTGCGTCCCCTGATCCCGGCTGCCGCCGCTCTGTAGTCGCGGCGCCCCCGCCCCGTCCTCTGCCCGCCTGCCCGCACCGCCCCCCTGGAGCCGGCCGGCCGGCCAGGAGCCAGGCCGAGTCTTCGCCATGCTTGTCCGATTGCTGCTGCTGCTGTTGGCATTGCTGCTGCCCGGCCCCGGGGTGAGTGACCGGGAAGCTTGGGGTGGGAGACAACGCGGGACGGGCTGGGGTCCGAGCCGGGAACGCGGCGGCTTGCGGCGGCGGCGCCCCCAGGCTCCGTGCGCCCGCCGGGGCGGAGGCGACGCTGGGCGGGGAGTGGCGGCCTCCTGACCGGCCGGAGTGGCGGCCGCGGCCGGCCCCGCCGAGGCGTCCGCCGCCCAGGGGCCTCGCTGGCCGGCGCGGCTGTCACGAGCAGCGTCTCCCGGGCCGCGTGCTCTCGGACGCAACTTTGTGTCGCCCTGGCGGCACCTCAGGGTGTGCAGAAGGCTCCGGGCCCTTGGGAGGCCGTCCCACCTGTCGGACCCTTCCCACAGGTGGGAGCCGGCTTGGCCTGGCGGTGGCCGCGGAGAGAGGGCAAGAAGGGCCCTGTGACCAAGGGGAAGGGAATATCTTGCGTTTATAATCCTCGCTTGAACTTTCCAAAATGCGAAAACTTTGGAAAACAAATGCCACTGAAAGTGGCTAAGCATTCTTTCCCCAAGAGTTTGATTCTGCTTACCTGCCTTGCAGGTTTCTTGGTATTGGAGGCAGTGGGCTTCCTTTGGGGGCAGCAAGACTTCCTTAAGCAGTTTAAGCGGTGGGAATGGGACTCGTTTTTCAAGACCCCATATGGGACAGCGGCGAAGCCGCTCCTGAACTTTAAACGAAAGACTGTCTCCTCGTGGGAGAACACCACGGGGCTGTCCGAAACGTCTTTTCATCTTTTTTTTTAAATTCTCTGTAGAGAAGAGCCTGGTTTACATTTATTTAACGATTTCAGGCCTTCTCTCAGGCTGTGGACTCGGACACCTTGGCTGGGAGGACATTTTGTGGACAGACTGGCTTTTTTTTTCCCCCTTCTGGTTGGAAGAACCTAATTTAGGTGGTTTTTTTTTTTTTTTTTTGATGTATTGTTCAGGATGTGGGCATGGCACATTGGAGCAGATTCTATTTAATGACCTCCACTGTGTATTCTTTAATATGGTGTATCAGGTACTAGGTGTTCAGGTGAAGAATGGACATGTGTGTCCCTGAGTGCCCCAGCATGAACTCTTCGGAGGTTATGCATTTTAGGTAAATACTAGTCTGTGCTCTTGGGGTAACAAGAATTTGGAAATAACTGAAGAAGTAGGAGGCCACTTTTTTTCAAATTCAAGTTCTTTTTTTTTTTTTAAAGGAAAACTTGTACACACGCCACAAAAGTCATGTAAGTTAAGTTTTCCTTCCAGTTGAGGGGAAAAAAAATCCACTTTCTCAACAGGAGTCAGGTTTTGAACTTGAACATTTCATCTTGGATTGGTTAACTGGTGCCTGGCATACATTCACCAAAAAAAGGGTGTAAAGAGAATGACCAAAATGAATGACACGGAGACCAATGATTTCATATCATCATTGTGTATGTGGTTTTCTTTGCCACCTCTTTTCGTTTACTGTTCTGTCACTGGATTCTAGTGTTTTAGTTATTGAATAACTTTGGCTAAAGAACCAAAAATAACTGTAGCCTTTAACTGGGACTATAGTTTCAGTTCATGTAAATATTTCCAAGTTGTATTTAGAATCCAAAATTCCCAGAGTTGGTAAAAGAGTTCAAACCCTTATCAAAAGGTTATATTTGAGTTGTAACAGCTCTTTAGGGAAAAGGTCAGAATTTCACTCCCAGAATTGCCTACCAGTAAAAATTTCGATTCCCAAACATAGTGGAATTGTTATTTTTTAAAATCTTTTTTTCTTTTAGTTAACTTTTGGCTGTGCTGGGTCTTGCTGTGCTTGAGCTTCTCATTGCAGTGGCTTCTTTTATTGCGGAGCACTGGCTCAATAGTTGTGGCACATGGGCTTCGTTGCTCCGTGGCACGTGGGATCTCCCCAGACCAGGATCCAACCCGTGTTTCCTGCACTGGCAGGTAGACTCTTATCCACTGCACCAGCAGAGAACCTGGGAATTATTATTTTGAAGTTCTAAATGCAGAGTTTGCAGTTAAACTAGGCTGCAGTGATGTTGCATGCAGAATGCAGTGGCTGTAAAATCAGACAAACCTAAGTGCTTTCCGGTCCCTTGGTAGCTGTGTCTGCAGAGCCTTCGAGACTCTGTTTCCTGATCTGTGAAATGGGGACATCTGACACAGTCACACGTGTGAAGAGACCTGGCACATCATATTAGATAATAATGTAAATTCTCCTTGCCATCCCGTCTCCCAGAAGGTGTTTTTTACTCTGAAGTCATCGTTTTTAAATGTTATACAATGCCTGGGCAGGGGATCTTTTTCTGATGCTGTTTCTCTTTGATTGATGAACTAACTAGTGCAGTGGAGGCTGTTGTGATTCTCCTTCAGTGTGTGTCTTAGCCAGACATCCACAAGCCGAGACTCTAGGCTACCGGACCTAAAATGCAGTTACCTCGGTGTTTCTAAGCACCCAAGCCTGTCTTGTTAATCCAGAAGGTGCTCTATTCAATCGGTGAGTTTCCTCCTCCTTCCTGGACCTGATCTTGTGCCTGATGTTGGTTTGTGTTGCATCATTGCTGTCACGTCTTTGCTGTCCTCTGGTCCTCATTGTGCCATGTTTGGGTGTCACTCCTCTCAAGTGCCAAAGAGATCTGTGAAATGCGAGGCAGGGCACTTTAGGATATGCGATCTCTTTTATTCAGCTGATGTTTTGGTTTTAGAAGGGACTAAACAAGGTCCTGGAGAAGTGTCCACAAAACACACTGAGACGTTAAGTCTTATCTAGAAATGGCCTTGCTTCTCATTTATTCTGATACTTATTACCTGCGTGAATTATCCTCATAGGAGGTCTCCAGTATTTCTGCTATGGAGGAGAGTGTTTCCTGAAGCTCATGTTCAAGACTGCTGATCGTGAAATTAGACTGTAGTGTGCATTCGTCTGTTGTGTTTCTTTAACTTGCATGCCCACGTGGCTCTCCACAGTGATACAACTTCTAAAATCCTGAGAGAAAATGTGCATGAGAGTGATTCTTGAGAAAGTTTGATGGTAAACCATATTCCTGAATATAAAAGTCAGTGAGCCACAAAAAGGTTTCCTCATGTCTGAGCCGAATAGCAGCACCTGCGTGGGCCTTGGGGATGTAGTTTTTTGCCTGCCTTTGATGGCACCTCTGTTTTCCAGGTTGAATACTCATAGGATAACTATTTCATTTTCATTGGAAACCTCTTTGGTTTGGGGAATCCACAGTAATATTTAGGTTTAATACTGTGTGTGTTTTATCATGATCAAATGTTTTCCCTAAAGAGATGATATAGGGGAGAAAAGCCTAATGTATCATTTTGATGGATTCCGTTTTTATTATGCACGCGTAACTCGGGGCCTGTAACCTAGCAATATGATTAGAGTGTGATGCTGGCTTAAAAAACAGGGACAGTGAATCATAGTCTGTGAATAATAAACATGCTGGTTGGCTGTATTTCTCAGGGGCTGGGGATTGTTATTTCCCCCCGTTATTTTATCTTTACCTATATTCCATATTTGGTTTCAGGGTTTGCTGCCTCTGAGCAACAAGTGCTTAGGGATGTTTAAATGAGTGAGTGCACCAGAACACATGTGGACTCCCCCCAGACACCAAACAAAAACAAAGTCCCAAGGTCCTTGCATACATGACTTTAAAAATTTTTCACTTTTACACAGGCTCTGCCTCACTTCTGATTATCTTATGATCTTTGCTCATGTACAGATACCCAGCAAGTCAAACAGTATAAATGTGTGTTCTGTACTTCGTTCAGTTTTTTTTTCCCCACAAAACGTCTCCTGTGACCTGTTAGGTAATATTCTGAGTGCACACTGCGTCTGTCACTTTCAGTAGCACCTTAGTAAACCATCATCTACGCAAAAAGCATTTGAGTCTTCTGTGTCAGCCTCAGGATAGGGGACTGGGGTCAAAACTGACCAGGGCTAATGTGGTAACAAGCCATGCTTTGCCTCGTGATCACCCTACTGGGGTCACATGGGTTGTTTCCAGTTGTTCCACTACTGTAAGAAAGGTAGAGTTCCTTTTCTTCAAATCTTTTGTGTTTGGTGCTTTCTGTATAATAACATGGGAAGATTTGAGAAAACCTCCCAAATAATCATATTTATGGTAAAAAGAAGAGTCAGAAAATATAGTCTAAATTTAAAAAATAAACATAATAAACCTATAATTCTATTACCCAAACATTACTTCTGTTAACATTTTAACAGCTTTCAGTTCAGCTCAGTAGTGTCTGACTCTTTGCGACCACATGGACCACAGCACGCCAGGCTTCCCTGTCCATCACCAACTCCTGGAGCTTGCTCAGACTCTGGTCCATCGAGTCAGTGATGCCATCCAACCATCTCTGTCGTCCCTTTGAGCTGTAATTCACATGTCATAAAATTCACTCGTTTAAACTATACAATTCAGATTTTTAGTGTATTCACAGAATTGTGCATCCATCACCACAGTCAGTTTTATGTTATTTTCATCATTCTCAAAAGAAACTCCATACCTGTTAACTGTCACTCCCCATATCCCCCAAACCTCCCAGCCCCCAGTAACCACTGATCTCCATTTGTCTCTATAGATTTGCCTATTCTGGACATTTCATATGAATAGAATCATATTACATGTGGTCTTTCATGTCTGGCTTCTTTCACTTAGCGTAACATTTTCAGGGTTCATCCATCTTATGGCCTGTATCAGTGCTTTTTTTTGCTTTTTTCCTTTTTATTGATGAATGATATTCTGTTAGGACTTCCCTAGTGGCCCAGTGGTAAGGAATCCACCTGCAATGCAGCAGATGTGTTTGATCCCTTGGTGGGGAAGAGCCCCTGGAGAAGGAAACGGCAACTCACTGCAGCCGGGCCACAGTCCATGGGGTAGAAAAGAGTCAGGCCGGACTTGGTGATTAAACAACAATATTTCACTATGTGGATAGACCCCATTTTGTACATCCATTCTTCATTTGATGGACACTTGGGTTGTTTCCCCTTTTTGGGTATTATGAATAATGCTG